AATTTCCCTATTCAATTTTTGCGAATTTTCTTGTATATATTTGATTGCTAGCTGCTTATATAAGGCGGGGTATCTCCAACAGGTGGATCAATTCCCATTGAGGCAACAAAATGATGAAAGATCGCGTCTTCTACATGAAAAATGGTGATAGCAGTCTACCCACTTGACTCAGTGAAATATCAACGGTTACCATAGCAACAAACATAGCGTGAGACTTCCCTTAATCTCATTCCCTTCTACAATTTAGCATTCCTTCCACTAAAAGTATAATTAGCGATGGAAGAGAATCGGTAGCCAATGCTATCAAAATCTGAAAATTATAAGTCGGATGATAACTGAGAATTAATCTAAATGTCTCCGTGAGCGATGCACATCCGAGTAGAATGAGTAAAGGGTGGAGAATTTATGCTTTAATGTATCTCGACCTCTATTCAATTTGTTTAATAACCTTCTCCGACTCGTAACCTGTTTACTTGTAGTCGTGTGAGGATAAATTGGTAAATTACTAACGAAATTTAGACTTTTCTCCTTACTAATGAGTAAAGTTTTGATGATTATAGCATTTACATTTGTAGATTATGATACAAATCGTTCCATCTCCTTTAAACCCGCATTTTAAAGTATCATATAGTAAATAATTGTGAAAGAGATAGATGATATATGATCTTTTCCTTAGTAAACAGCAGCTGGGGATGTTCTCAGCGCTTTCCTATTTCAAACAACAAACTATTTGTTGCATGACTATCCCTATATGGATATGTAAAGACAAATAGTATTATCGTGAATCGAATGGAAATTCTAATCTCGTCTGGATAGAAAACTGATATCTATGTTATGTAAACTTTAAAGAAAAAATTTCACAATTTATATACTTAAAAAGAAATTTTTTTAAAACTTTTCTATATTTTACCATGGATAAAATTGTTAAATTTTAAAAAATAATATTTATAAAAACCTTATTCAACTTTGTTTTACGATGCCACCATGATCTAAGTGAACAGTAAGTTTCTTTATATATATATATATAATTTTTTAAGCATTTTAGCAAACATCTAGCATTAGGACGAATTGGGTAGGAGGCTCTTCCAAGCTGGCAGAACGCCAAATCGTAGAGGATTAAAAACCAACCCTTATAAATAAGGAATGCCGTCAATAACGTGTTGGCGTATTGCCAGATTACTAACGTGTTGATAACGTCTAAGAAACGATGAGTTCCTTACTGTTTTTGCGATAAAAAAATGTCCAGACGCAGCTAAACGCTTACACAATAGAATTTCTGAAGTTACAAATTAAACGATAACCGAGAAGAATTTACTTTCAACCAGAAAACTTTGAAAAGAAACAAGGGAAAACGAATCCGTTATCTTTATGTATAACGGGGAAGAGCCATTTACAGGGGCGGGGCGAGAACTTCACATAAAGATATTAATAGCGGGAAATTATGAGTAAATTATTTATATAACTACTTGTGGGGGTGTATAATAATGGAGAGATGTGGGCATGCGCCAATTATTGTAATCACTATGGCAACGGGAGACTAAATGACAGTCCACACTCATTATTTAGACAGATGTGGTTGAAAGGTGACATGCTCGTTAGCTTCAAGATTAAATGTTATTAGTAAGTCAAACAACACTACAACCAATTGGACAACTTCATAAATGCAAATATACTACGAGGAATAAACTGAAAAATATGCTTAAAATGCCTAGAGATGCAATTAGACACGATGATAACCTCATCACGTAACAGGAAATGTAGGAGTTTAAAGCTCCACTCGTGCAAACTATACCATAAAATTATCCTTACACAACACTACGCCACTTATAAGAGGCAGCTATGATCGATTTTGTTGATGGTAATATATATATTATTTTAATAAAATTAAGATAAAATTTATGAACACGCATTAATCTGTATATACAAGTAACATAAATCTTCTTTGAGTAATGATAAAGAGATTATAAGCAACTGCCGAATTTACTATATATCGTGAAAAACCATCGAGATATCATTCTCATATTTCTAAAGATATTAACGATTTATCTAGAAAAATAAATCTGTAGAGAATTTTTCAAATATTTATTTTTATTCACTTACTAAAAATAAGATCAAACTGGTTTATAGGAATATTAAACTGCAATAAACATAAACAGAATAGAATAAACTTATTTTCTACAGTAAAATATAATTTGATTTATAAAAAGATAACTTTATATTATTGATCCTACAACTATTTTAACTACGAACATATTTCAGCAAGAAGTAAATTATAGAAATCAATGGATATTTATTATGATTTTAAAGGCTAGAAAATATCGTTTATAATTAAAAAAACGGTTAAAATTCAGTTAAATTTTAATAGAAAATGTCTCAAAACATTACTCTCAACCTATTAATACGTTTTTTATATCTCGTCGATTTAACTTTAAATAACTTAGGTTTAAATTTGAGTTACAAGTTAAGATATTCTACGAATTATTATACGCCAAAATTCAAAGCACTGATTTATAATTAAATCACGTCTCATTGTTCCTGTACATAACGCTATATCAACAAACCGAAACATTAGAATAGGCGAAATTGTTAGTTTGGAGCTAGAATATCTCTAATTATATTCAGCGTAATCGTGTCAACAGAATTATGAGGCTAAGAGAAAAAAAATTATATTCTGTATATAGTCGACTCATCACTTTATTTATCTTTACTAACGAGTTACTTAAAAATCTGCGTGATTGGAAAGTTTATTTGAGTAAAAGTTAGCTTCATTTGCATTAAAAAAAATTATTGAGCTTCCACTTATCCAGTTTTGTAAGGATGACATAAGGTTTTGTCGTCTCTTACCAATTATCGAATGTTTTAATTAAAGAAGAGGATTTTTTTAAAAATGTTTATAAGGTGTAACAATTGTTATTTTGATCCTTAATGTGATTTACCTGTCAGTTATCGTGTTTACAACCTTCTTGTAATTAGCAAAGACGACTTGAACCACAGAACTCGTATCTCGTGGGAAGTATTAGACTAAAGATGGCCGATAATGAAGAAAGCTCTTTAACGTATAGAGGAGTGACTTAACTACGGGTGAAAATTCTTTTTTCCCCCTCTCTCTGCTTAAGAAACTGATTTTCTATGAAACCGAATCAATTAAAGATTATTGCTTCTTTCGTGGAAAGTAAATAAAATTTTCTCGAAAAAATTCACATTTTTGGATATTAAATCAATTGTTCTTATGAGGTTTTGTAGAAGGTAAGTTCTCGTTTTGAAGAGTGTAATTAACTTGTGTGCATTTTTAGAAAGATTGATCAATAATAATTGCATTTTTCGTTAGGAAACTTCAGCTAAGTTACTGTTTTGGATGATTTTAAAGTGAAATTTAATAGAGAATAAAGTAAAAATTTTCATTCCTGCGACTATAAAAGGCGTGAGATCGCATTCAAAATCGATTGAAGGATGAATTTCTTTTCTTTTTCCCTTCTAAAACTCAGGAAACGAATCGGATTCCGTCACGTGTTGGCTTAGCTCCAAGACGTAAACTGCACTTTTACACCTTGGGCGTGCCCCGAAGACACACGACAGAATTTTTGAAAAAAAGAAAGAAAATCTCGTCTCTTCCTACGAGACTAAAGAGACCTGATTAGAAAAATCTGTATCTGTTCAACATCTCCCGGGAGAGCAACCGATGCGCGAGGATCAGATAGCCATTTCGGATTGTTAGTTGACGAAATCGCTTCGGGAGTAAACGAGTTAAAACCTGAAGATGTAATGACGTAAAACCCTTTATAGTAGATTCACCTTAGAGCTTTAAGCGAACATTTGGGGATTCTTAAGAAGGAAAGATCAAGTTATTTGGTCTGTCAAAACTTAACGACTTCGAAGTGTAGAGAGCAAGCGCACTATCATCCCAGGACAGTCGTCAAGTTATAGTAGGAAGCTGAAAGTCGTTCTCAATGGTACTATTTAGTCGGATTCACTTCACGTATTGCTAGAGTCGTACCCATTGGGTTTGTTCTACTTTATTCATTTGCAGTTAGCACCTCTACCGGGGAACTCGCATCCATTTAAACGCATTTATATCTAAATTTGTTTTTTTTCTTTTCATCTTCCTCCTCGTTTTATTCCTTTTTTAACCAAATGGAATCATTAATCACATCCGAATTTATTAGAGGAGGAGGAAAGAGGCAGATGGCCTCTTTCCTATTCTAATTCCTAGAGAAGAAATGACTTTTAATGGAAAATTTTCTGATTTTGTAAATGGAAAAGTATATATAAAAAATTGCTTTAATCTTTATAAAAAATACAAAAATTAAACGAAAAATCTTAATAAGAGAAATTTTCTCTAGAGGAAATGCGCTTTGGAAGAGTGGAATGAACTCTGTAGAATAGGAAAACCGGTTGCAAGGAAGGTTGAAAGAGCCGTGTTTGTTCAGGAAGAAATTGGCCAAATGAAACACTTCTACTTGTTTGCCAAAGGAAGATCAAATGGAGAATGGCGAATAACGACTTACTATTAACTTAATAAACGAGACTGTATTCTGTTGAATAAATAACATGCAAATTTGAGAAGGTAGACGATGGAGGGAACAGAATAAATCCCATTTAAATATATGCAAATGCTTCATTGTTTTCTTTCATCCGGATCATGATTCATCTTATGACTCATAGGATCATATTGAGTGCTCCCCTCTCGTAGCGAGTCATAACGAGAGAGAGCTCGGGGAAAACCTTTCAGGAATGGTTAAGCTTAACCTAATTAAACCCCTACACTCGACTTTATATCAGATATTTTAATGCGTTAAAGGTTAAGATGCTCTCGAAAGCTTTTTAAATTATCGTAAGAATAATGCCCCGATAGAACTAAGTAGGTTAGACTATTCTCCATTTCGTAAGTGGAGAGTTAATGTGGCAAACTTATTTGAATACTAATGACACTTTAAGATAAAGTGGGATAGCCATAAAGCGGAGAAAGACGGCCGTAAGAAGGAAAAATCATGCCAACTTACCTGTTGGTTTTTATATTTTCTAGACAAGTAGGCTCGAAAGTGAGACTGTATGCAGACAGCAGCACTGTCTCGGTCGCTCTTCTGTGGAAGAGACACAACTGTTAGTCAAGGCAAACAGAGCACCGAGCGTTCATGTACGAACGCCAAGAGGATGTGGCAGATGGGGATGTGAGTCGCACCGAAGCAAACCGTCCAATGAAAGGTTGCAGGTCCGAGTGAGCGTCGATCAATCCATTGATCGGAAGAGTGAGGGGCGAGGTCTCCGAGCGGGACATTAAATTGATTCTCCTCTGATAAAAGCCAAAATACACCGCGCTAACCATGCACATAAGCTAAAAATAGTTTTCTCCCTATCACCTTATTATACTCGGCGAATAAAAATCCACGCAATCACTCCATAAGTTTGACAAAGAATCCCTCCCGCTCCGGTAAAATCTTCCTTCTTTACTAGAACGTTTTTAAATCCGTGACGAAATGTCGACGTCACTTATCTCTACCCCAGTATATCCCACAATAATGGGAGCGATCGGGGTGAGCGAAGAGGGATCCGACCTGCCAAAAACCCCTTTATCCCGGTCTCTGGCTTGGACACAAACTGCAATTTTATCTTATATTCTTAAACGATTCGTTAATTTCCCATTAGCGAGAGACTTTATGTAATTATGTATCATTTATCTCAATATTATAATCATAATCGGCTCTAATCACCGAAATTATCATCATTTGTTGTAGTTTAAACACGCGGCCGCTTATGGCAAACCCCATAAGTGCTATATCTTCTCTCTGACATCAGCCAGCTTATATTAATGGACTTGACTTAGATGAGTGTTTACGTAGACTAACATTAAACTGCGTAACAGATGGATAAATCATTTGCTTACTCCAAAATATCGCTCCCCCGAACCGATTCCTCCCCCCTTTTTCCAACTCGTTAGCCCTTCGAGTGATTCAATTTTATTAAAACAAACGTCACTAATGTCGCACTCTAGTCTAACTCGTTCTAAGAAATCAACATGTGCTCTGGGTCTTTAAACACACTCTGAATCCAGAAATGTAAACAAAATCAGCGGGGGATAATTATTTTCCGATACAACACCTCTTCCGTCAGCCAACAGAAACTAATTAAAGCTTCTAAGTATGCCATCTTCGTTTCTATGGAAACCTAAGTGATGCGGAGGATCAAAAACCCCGTGACGTCACGGCAAAAGGAGATTTCTTGAATGATTACATAAAACAAGGACTGAATTTTATAAAACAATCCACATTTTTTATCAATATTTCTTCTAGGAATTTAATAAATTCGGTTTAGAGGAATGTTTTTCGTTGGTTTATTTTTTTATATTACTATAAAAGCAAGATTTGCCGATTTATTTCTATAAACAAATTATTAATAAAGATATAAATAGAAATTTTATGAATGTTTTGACTATTTTAATAAATTTTCTTCCACATAATGACTCTCTACTCAACTAATTAAAAGTGGAAAATGTCAAAATTTGATAAACGGGATTTAATACTACAAAAACAAATTTATCAGTAAATATTTTACTAAAAAATATTCTTAATAATAATCCGGATTCTAAGCATTATTTAGCAACAGAAAAGATAATGATAATGCCAGATTTTAAATGTAAATTAATTTAAAACGAAAATATAGTCTATTGAAAGGATTTCTAACATAAAAATTTTTGGAATTAATTAACAAAAAACATTAATGATCAAATTCTGTGTATTTAAAATTTATATTTAACGTCTTTATAAATACAAAGGAGAATTTCCTTCCTTCAAACATATTAGAGCGTAAAAAGATCCAAGAATTATTCTACATAAAACATTAAAAAATTAGTTTAAACTAGAGATTTATTGATTAAAACACTTATAATCTTATGTACAGAAGATCAACCTACGCGATTTCTATAAATATATATTAAAATATTGAATAATTATTGATTAAATATAACAATTTGAAAATGATTTTATTAAAAAAACAAAAAATTTAAGAAAATTTCACGAAGTTTAAACTAGAATTTTGCACTTCTCTTAATTACGAAGCTGTTAAATAAAAGAGGGCATCCTTTTCTCTATAAGTTATCACTTGATATATAGATTATAAATATAAGAAGGTAGATAATGGCACAATTATCTCGTCCTACAATCACTTTAATTGGTTGAGACGGGGTATAGAATGACAAGAAGAGAACACTTAACTCGGTAACCATCTAATCATAGCTTGATCTAATCTAACCAAACTCAAGCCAACTATAACAAGTAAAAGTTAACCAAACTAACCAACCAATTTATCTCAATGAAATAAAATCGATGAAATTAAACTTTCAGAAATGCTTTGTTTATGGCCAGGAGAGGAAAACTGTGCGAACATAATTATGGTAAATCAACAGAGCAGCATACTATATCAACCAATTAGGAGTTCAGTTTGCTAGGAAATCTTTAAATTGATTAAACAGCGTTTGAAATTTCGTAGTTACGTGACTAGAAAACGCAATATATAATGATTTGGGGGGAGCTGTCGATCGATTCGATCGAACACGTGATAATCGAAAGGCTAGATAAATAAATAAATAAATAAATTCGAAACTTCATCAGATATTAGCATTACCTACGCCAAACGGATTTGTTGAACCAATCTCAACTTTTATTCGGCTGTTAACCGATCAATAAGCTAGCAAACCTCAGTCAGAGAAACGTTTCTTCCTGCACGACATTGATATAATGCAGACAAGCCCACCACCAGGGATTTCTTGTCTTGTCGCCAACAGCGCTTCCATCCCGACTCGTGCCACTATGATATTTTGTTAAGGGCATTACCATCGCCTGTATTATTTATATTTTCTTCGCTATACATAGTTAGGTTATCCGGTCTACACATCATAAATGTAAATAATCTCCGCTCTTCTATCGCTTCTCCGCGCGTTTTACGTCGATTTAAAAGGTTAAACAGGCATGTAAATAAGTATTTAAGAGGTTATAAAGCAATTTTTACGGTTAAATTATTATTTTTAATGTTTCTGTGCGATTTTTTTGTTTAACTTTCCGTCTACCGAAAATATAAAGACGTTTTAACTCGGCAGGTTTATCACCTGTGTGTTTAGTTAAAGCTGCAGGTAAGTAGATTTATTACCTGTCAGTAACTATGACAACGGGGTGTGGTGGTTGACAATGTACTTATACTATTATTGTAGATATAAAACTGTGGCTCGTTGAAATGTTTTAGATGATTTTTGCACTCCAAACATTTTTATCATATCTGAGACTCCATTAACTCGGAGTTTTGATCAATTCAGTGTGATTAAAGTGTTTCCATGAAGTAGAGATGGTAGAATTCAACCAAATTAACACTTGATATCTTATTCCAGTACGATTGCAGAGGTTAGAATTCATGATTCAGATGAATTAGAGTCTTGTAAAACCCTAAAAATGGGATCTTTAAAGATGAAAGGTCATCTAACAATTCGTTAAACTCTCATAAATAGGGGGAAATTGGCAAAATAAACTGTATTAGAATCTTCTAGAAAACTTAATACAGACAGAGTGCACAGAAATTCTATAAATAAAATATACAAAATGCCTTCAACGTTATTCGTATTTACAGTATGCAAAGCGCATTAGAATAATATAAAATTAAAGAAAAACTTTCAGAGAAACGTAAATTAGCCAGGAAATTCTTCTTGTAAGGCAGAAAAATCCCGTAGAATCTAAAGAACGGATGTATCTAGAATGCGCCTATTACTGTAAAATCTGAAATTTATAATACAAGAAAACGTCACATAATAGGAAATCACTCTATCCAATATATATAAACTTCACTGAATTCAGAAAACACTTATCACATCGGAGATGCACGGAAGCTTCAGAGAATCCAACAAAATAAATTTTCGTCAACTTAAGCGAATCGAACTCGAGTCAGGAAACTTTCATATCGAGGAAATCCAAGCATTAAGGCGATATGTGGATATATCCTGTCAAACTAAATATCATCACTCGACTTAAGTCCGGACATAACCCTAAGCACGGACAACTAAGAACCAGCTGGGTCCTGCAAACGTCTGGGGAATATCTTCGTCGATTGAACAAAGTAAAGACGTCGAAATATTGGCTGTTTGATATTGAACGCTACATGACACCAGGCTAAACACATTACTTTCCTAAAGAAAGGAAAATGTCCTGGTCTGTCCGACGTACAAAAGGAAAAAAACCGACTTTCTCCGATGCGTTAAGACAAAAAAACCTGGAGGATCTTATCGAAGAGGAGTAGAAAGAATATAATCTACTCCATTACTTAATTAGGTAGAGCATCTTAGAGAAAATGATATCACGTGAATGGAAGATTTTAGCGATAGTCATCAGGATTTCCAAATTGTAACAACCTTAAATTACTTTTGAATGTTCAATCGGATAAGATTTTTAATGGTTTTTAGCGTGTCTAAGCGGACAAAGAGAACATAAAACGATCGCTGGAGATACGAATTTTACAAACGAAGGAATTTACAGTTCATGCTAGAGTGGTGATTGTGATTAATTTGTAAATAAAGCACGGGGAGGAAGACAAGACGAGCAAATCCCTTTGGTGTCGGAGGTACACATCCAGTGGACGCCATCTTTAATTTGACCAGACAGCTCGACAAGAGATAGAAGGACGATTCGCTGCAGGCTCTTTGTAATTTCTAAATTGAAAGTGGCAATTTTCAAGAGGAAAATATTCTCACTAAAAATATGACTAGAGAAAGAGAGAGAGAAGAGAATTTGTTAAGGCAAACTGTGCATTTTTTATGAATAATTTATATTCTACGAGAGACACAGTTTATTTAAAAATTCTTCAGTATAAAATTACTTATTTTCAAAGGGAATTCTAACCATCCAGAAGTAGAAGAAACCCAAACGGTATGTTAATGGCTTTCAGTTTGTTATTTAATTATCCGCATGCACATGTATGCCCGGCAGCAACTATCGATCAGGATTAGGTAACGTAAACCCCCCTTTTCTTTCTATTGTTAGCTCTTGATTCGGGATCAATCCGTTTCCCGACGAATTTAAATCCATATAAAACTTTACTCCTCCTGGAA